ATGAGAATGAAAAAAAAAAAGTATTAATATACACTAGTAAAACGTTTATATAAATAATTATATACACTAGTCAAAACAACAAATTGTTTTGACTCAAACTTTGGTGCGTTTGAATCTTAAAAAATATATTCAAATAAAAATAAAGTTTTTACTAAAGCTTAAATAATTTTTTTTTTAATAATTAAAATTTATTTTTGTTTCAAACTTCCTAACATTTTGTCAAAACTTATTTTGTATTATTGTATTCACTAATATATCACTAGTATTACTAGTGATATATGAGGGTATCCAGCGTACAATTATGGTCGGGTGCCAGTAAGCTAGATATAATGGCATCAGCTTATTCAAAAACCTGGCTCTTTTATACACACTCTTCCTAACCTAATGGATACAATCAAGTAGTTTTAACAATTCTGTGAGTCGATCAGTATAATTCATGGTTCTGTTTTTTCTATGATATTTTATGTATTGTTCTTAAAATCAAGAATAGAAGCAATAGAATAATATAAGCAATAAATAAATAGAAACAACGTATTTATATTGGGGAGCAATAATGGTTCGAAAGATTAGTTTTTTGGCCCATTGAGTTAAATATTTGATTATTCTAGCAAGATATCCAGTTTTCTTTGCAATTTTACTTGATATATATTTAATATGTTTAGTAAAATTTGTATTCTTTTCGAACTCCTAAATATTTCGCGCAATTAACAAATTTATAAATGTCATCCAAGATTACTTTTATGTTACTGTTTAGGTTTGGTAAGTCTTCTTTTTTTGGATTTACAATAAATATAACCATGGACTTTTGTGTATTTAATTTAATTTTTTATTATTTAGCCACAATGTACTTGGTTAAGTTGATTTAGATTAAGTTAGCCATTCCACAAGATTTTTTTTCTCGACATTTTTATATACGTATAACATGATTGTATAGAGTGGATCCGAAGTTTTTGTGCTTGAAGAAAACTGATAATTTTTTTGACAAAACGCATTTAGTAAGGAAAATTTGCTGTGTAATGGCACCGAAATAAAATAAAAAAGCATAAAAAATTACGCGCAATATCAAAACAAACGATAGGAAAAGGAAAAAAAGCATTATATCATAATTTCTATATGCAAATCCTAAGTATCAAATCTTCAAGGAAAAATAAATAAATACTTGTTTTAAATTGAGGAAAGGTTATTTTTGCCATTTCCACATGGACTATTTCAAAAAATACTATTTTTTCTATAAAAATTAACCTTGAAGTTTTTATACGCTGAGAACTAAAAAAATATGTATGAATATTTAAAAAAAGATCAAAATTCATTTCCTCATCCCGTTTTTTAATATATATGGAATGTTTCATACAAACTAGATTTGTCTCAGTGCTCAGTAAATCTTACTTTCAAAAACTACTTTGAAAAAACATGGTCGCGGCAAGGTTTTTTAGCAATAGTGGTCTTAAAACAAGAGTAATATACAAGCCCGTAGCAACCAGGGGGGGGGGAGAGCAGCAGGGACATTTGTCTCCCCAATAATTTATCTAATAAATAATTTTGAAAAAATTGACCAAAAAATTGATATATAAGTGAAGCCATATAAAACTTACTAAATTCTTCATTTGGTTGGAAAGAGGTTAAATCAAACTAATTAATTAAAAAATCGTTCTTGCTTAATTATAAAAAAGATATAAGAGAGTAAACATCATGAAAGTTAAGTGTTCTTTATCAAACGTAAAATGTATTTGGTTGCGTTCTGGAATCGCTAACAAAGTTTTGGTTTAGTTAATAAATACTGTGAAACGGGGTGAATAGAAACAATTTTCAACTTTGGTTTGAAATTTTGCATCTAGATAAACAATTTTTTGCCCAAACACAGGTTTTTGTTAGACCTATTTACTTATGGTAGTTAAATTTTTTAATTTTATTTGATTTTAAAGAAAAAAATATTGAAATAATTTTTTCAATTCACCCCGCAATGGGGGTGAATAGAAACAGTACTTCAATTTCATGTTTTTTTCTATTGAAACGAATCGAGGGTGAATAAAAAAAGTTAAATATGGTATTTTTAATTTGCAAATGGATAAATACAAATTTATTTCACAAAATAATGATTTATTTGAGTACATCAACAAAAGAAGTTACATAACTATACGTAAACAAATTAAACAGGTAGAAAATTAACATAACTAACAAGATTAAATTATGACTAATAAATTGTGAGATAAGGCAGATCATCTTTGAAAAATATCTTGTCTTTGAATCGCGCATATGAGGGCTGGGGAGGATCCAGACGTAGATGCCTTTGATGAGTTTATGATTTTTTCTTAATATTTTGTCTCTCTATATATAATGACCTTTCGTTTACCAAGGTTACCACTTAGGTTCGTCTCATCGTAGTTAACAATATTAGATAAAGACACATTCTTTAATTTGTTAGTCAATTCATCAAAATAGTTGTATCTGATGTCACACCAGCTCTCGATCGTTTAATATTCTGACATATTCTCAAAAAACAAAATTTTTGATGTTCGAACTAGTTGCAGAATCTGACTTGTACATGTCTTGATATTAAAATACTTATCGATCAGTTCTACAGTTACCATCGTTACAGTATAAATCGTTGTTGGTTGCCAATATATGCAGTACATGTCCATTTTTACAGCCAAAATTTAAATGAGCTAGTATTGGAAAATTACAAGCTAAATAAGTTTTAGCTTTACCATAAAATAGACATGTTTTCTTTTTAGGTCCCATCATGCTTTAAATTAAATTCAACAATCATAACACTACTATTTCATTGGATCGGCTATTAATTAAATAATTTAAAAATCATCATTAACCTATAAAAAAAGTTTATAGATATGTTTAATTTTTATATATCATATATAACTTAGGTGGCTATATGGTGAATTATGGGTATGGAAAAAAGCTGAGAAAATGCTGTTTTTGTTTTTAATGATTTTTTTGCATTCCATGCTGAAACACCATAAAAAAGTGTCCTATAAATTTTATTTCAACATTTTAAATTTTATTTAGCAGAATTTTGCCTTGAAACAATATAACCACCTTAATTACTATATAACCACCTTAATTAATTGCACTTGTTTTGTGTAAATGATTTTACAAATATAAAAAAAAACACTAAATATTGTTAGCAATAAAAGGCTATTTAAAAAAAAAATTGTATAACAGTTCTAATAAAATATCTTATTACTATGTATAAAAAATCAAATATACTGAATGATCACCGTCAAACACCGCCCCCTCTCCCCCGCAAGTGGAAAACCATACCTCCACTGCACGGAGAAATAGGGTAAGTGGTCATGAATATTTTTTAATGAAATTTGGCAGGCACATAGAAAATAGATTTATACAGTTGCCTGGAAAATTTAAAAAGTGTACCAACATGCCTTCAATATTAATGCACCTCCGGAACAGAAACAAAATTTTAAAACTGAATAAAAATCACTGGTAATTGTAAAAAAACAACAGAATTTATAACAAGAAGTAACAGTAACAGTAGCAGAAACAGTTTAATAAAGTGTAACAGTAACAGTAAAAAGGGTGGAAGTTGAACCTCTACTGAATCGAAAACAACGTTATGTGGTCATAAATATTTTTAAATTATATTTTGCAGGCACATAGAAAATTGATTTATACAGTTGACTAGAAAATTTTAAAAATGTACCAACATGCCTTCAATATGAATGTACTTCCAGAAAAAGAACGAAATTTTAAATAGCAATAAAATAACTGAAAAATTTATTAACCGTAAAAAAAAAACATAATTTATTCAACATTAAACATTCGACTTTTTTAATAGTCTAAGCTGATATAAAATTCTGAAAAAAAAAACAAATAAATGCATCCTTACCACACCGACTTCGAGCACGCTGTGAAAAAAAAGGTTCCAGTTTTTAACTTTGAAATCGGTGCCGTAAAAAGTCAGATACGCACGTACCTACTATGTGTCTTTTTAAACCTCTAATTGTTTTGTATAGTTTAAGACACTGAGTGCATGCATGTTGTTTGACACTATCTCTATGAATATCGATATCAGAAACAACGGAATCTATATCTATAACTAAGTTAATGTCATCATTCAAAAATCCTCCTTCAACCACGTTAAACAAACATTCCAAATCACTATTTGTCTCAAAATCGCTGCTAAAACTTGCCATTAATATAAACTTGTGCAGGTTTGCCGGGTCGTCGTATAGTTTTCAAGTTAAAATCGGAAAACAATGGAAATGGTCCGTGTTTCCAGACTATGTATTCTTATGACTATGTATAAACGTACCTATTTGTGTCAACGTATAAAGATTAGGCGTTTAAATACAGTCTTGATGTCGTTTTTCTATTTTTTACGAAACAAAAGATTACAAGCAAAGTCCCGAAGAATTTCAAGGCGGTTGAACTTTCATCTGTTTTATACTTCTATGGTTATACTGGGTTGAAACTTTTTTCCAGTGAGCAAATCGAGGTTTTCTTTTTTTTAAAAAACCCTGACCCGAATATAATAAGTTCCTGAATATCGAGTTCATTTTCAATAATGTATAAATTATTACAAATTTTGGTTTAAATAAATTGAAATATACTAGGTCTTGATTTTACAAAAAACGTAAAACCTGGATTTACTCACTGGAAAGAAGTATTGATATACAAACGAAACTATGTGACCGTGACCGAAAAATTATTAGTTAGCCGCAATTGATTTCTAAGAAAAATCCATTTTAAAAGAACAATTTAGGTTTAGTGCAACCAACAAGATAATAAATAATCTAAGTAAGTATTTTTAAAGTGCATAAACATCTCAGAAGTTATGTTACATGTAAACATTTTTAAACTTCACAATGAAATCAGTATTTTAGGTTGTAATTCAGCAAGTATATAATAAAAATAATTTTTATAATCACACGTGCGCTTTGTTTACTTTTTTTTAGTGTTCATAACGATAGAGGAATGTCTCAAGAATTTGTCTTGTTTCAAGAAATTGTCTTTATAGTATTTTTAAAATATAGCGTATTAAAACCTATTCAATTGAAGTCCAAATCATTTTTATGTTTAATTTTCATTATACTTTTAATTTTGCGTCACGAGACTCACATTTTAATATTAGCTAAAAGAGGTAGCAAGCTATACAAGTTTTGTACCTTGCAAATGAAATGGAAAAAACTTATATTCTTTTAATGATAATAGTTCATTATAAAGTGTTTCCAGGTACATATAGTTTTTTCATTTGGATATTAAAATGCTAAATGAATAATGTGAAAAAAGTATATACATAATATTGGTATCAGTGTTATACTTTTTGTTTTCTGAATAACAATATTGCAATAAATCCAAAATTGATTATTTAATAAAATTATTTTGGATATCTCATTAGTTTTTAAATATTAGTTAAGTTGTCTATCAATATTTTTTGTGGTTAATGTCTAAAAAGCTACAGTAATATCTAAATAAGCTATCTAATTTCTAATAAAGTAAAATATTTGATAATTTATATGTAATTTTTTGTTTTAGGAGTTTTTATATATATATATATATATATATATATATATATATATATATATATATATATATATATATATATATATATATATATATATATATATATATATATATATATAACTAATAAAAGTGACAAAGTAACATTCCTGTAATAGCGCTCAACAAAAAGTCACATTTAAATTGTCAAATATTATATTTTATTTTAGTATATATCTATTTAGTAAAAAAATTTTCTTATACTAAATTGATATACATTTTAGTATTAGACAAATATATATACACACACGCACACACATACACACACACACACACATATATTTATATATATATATATATATATATATATATATATATATATATATATATATATATATATATATATATATATATATATGTATATATATATTTTAGACTCCTGTATCTGCACAAAGAATAATTCTGCAGGTTGTCCTATTGGACAGTATTTAAAGAACATAGAAGGGGCTTTGAAATGTGTCAACTGTCAACCAGGATATTAGTAAGTTGAAATATATATGTATGAAATATTCATATATAAATTTTAAGTAATTTGGATATTCTATTTTATAGTTGTGCTGGTGGAACTGAAGGAGAAAAAATATGCCCGAGAGGTACCTACAACACGGGCGAAGCAAATTTTGACCTAGCATCATGTAAGGTAAAAAGAATTAGCATAGCATTGTTTAATGAGCAAATAATTTTTAGAAGAGAGGTTTTTGTTGTTCAATCATCATCATCATCATCATCATCATCATTGTTGTTTTTAGTTTAATTTCCACCCTTGCACATTCAACATTCTTCTAATGATGTTTCTTTTATTTACAAAATTTTGAGCGTTTTTTTTTATACTTTAAAAAAAAAAAATTATAATTAAAGCCAGCAGATTATATTAGTTCTGTGCAACCTTTAATCTGCTCATGCAGATTAAAGGTTTCTACAAAGATTTCAGTTTATTGTTACTGATATAAACAATATTTAGTTACTTAGATATAGTTATTTAGATAGATATAAGCAATATTTACACCCTTTACAAGCAGTAATATAATATATTTTTTTTATTGACAAAGTTGATGCATTAATTACGCAAATCATCACTCAGAAGGACAAATTTACTCTTTCTTTTTTTTTTGAATTAAGTTAAACTCATGTTAGAGCTAAGTATTACAGTTTTTATTCTATTTTAAGATTTGTCCTGCTGGAGCATATTGTCCTACTCAAGATCAAGCTATTCCATGCCCTTATGGTACATACACTAATAAAACAAACAGCTCATCTTGTTTAGCTTGCCCTCAAGGCTACAGCTGTCTAGTACCTTCTAACGAACCAGAAATATGTAATAAGGGTTATTATAGTCCAGAAGGAGTTTCTTTCTGCTCTGAGTGTCCAGCTGGTTTTGAATGTCAAGAAGGTGGTGTTCCTACCATATGCAAACCTGGTGAGTACTCCCCTATTCGATCTGCAAAATGTATCTTGTGTCCCATTGGACATAAATGTGAGTTAGCTGGTATGGAAGTACCTACATTATGTTCTGATGGTTATTTCACTAGTTCTACAGGGCAAACATCATGCTATATATGTCAAGCAGGTTATAGTTGCATGCATCGAAATTCTTCTGAGATATGTCCTGCTGGAACTTACAGTAAACAAGGAGATAGTGAATGTTTTGCATGCCCTTTTGGAATGACTAGTGTTGCTGGATCTAGCTCATGTCAAAAATGTACATCTAAACAGCTTTGTGCTGCACCATCAAGTTTCATGAAACCATCAGGTGAATGCCCTTTTGGGTATTATTCAAGTGAAAATGGTTCTTGTTTGTGGTGTCCATATGGTTCAAGAATAATATTAAATGGTTCAGGGTGTATTCCTTGTGATCCTGGCTTCTTTTGCCCAACAAGGTTTTTAAACATTTGTATATTAACATTAAAGTTAATTTTTTTTTATATGAATATTGTTTAAATTTCATATTTATAAGATTAAACAGTTATGTTTTTTTTTAGCTACTCAATGTTACCTTGTACATTAGGAATGTATTCTATTGGAAATGCTTATTTAAATTGCACAGTTTGTCCTCCAGGCTTTATGTGTCAGTTTTCTAATTCTGCTCCTGTACCTTGTTCTGGAGGTGTATATACTATCTTTTATATATATATATATATATATATATATATATATATATATATATATATATATATATATATATATATATATATATATATATATATATATATATATATATATATATATATTTTTAAAATGCTATTAACAACTGTTTTAAGAAAATTGTTTTAACTATTCCATAATGTTATATTTAAATAAAAAAAGTTTGTGCAAGCGCAGTTGTGCAAAGACACAATTGTGGAACTGTTAAACTGCTAAATTTTAGTTATATATATATTTTTGTAATATTAATAGTTATACATATTATTTATAAAGTTTAGTATTTATAAATATTATTTAGTTTCACACTTTTCTTTCATATTTTTTTAAAATTATAATTCACTTTTTTAATAATTTTTTTTTAATATTCAAATATAATTTGTTTTAGCTACCTATTCATTGGGATTTGCTGTATCATGCAATCCATGCTTAGCCGGTTACCAATGCCCAGGAAATTCAGCCATTGAACCTTGCCCATTTAATTTAACAAATGGATTTACATACAGTACAGATTCTAGTAAGGATATATTTTAATTATTCAAGTTATTAATTATTTTTCTACGAATTTATAAAAAAAAGTATTTGTTAATATAAAAAAATCTAAAAATTATCTACATTTATATAAGATTGAAACTTTGTTTAAAAATATCTCAATATTTTGGTTGGTTGATTGAAGCAATAAGGTTTGCTACTGAAAATATACATATACAGCAGGTTCAGTGCATAATATCAATTTATGGTTAGGGTTTGTGTAGTATGCTTTTTTTTAAACAAAGTTAACAACAAACAAAATTTCTTGAAATATTTTCTACTGTGTATTTATCTTGGATGATCTTGGAGATTATCTTGGAGAGATCTTGGAGGTTAATTGGAGGCTAATTTTAATATATATTACTATTTTTGTCTTTATATTCAAAGTGTTATATTTTAATTATTAATTTACATAATATGAAATTATAAATTTATTTCTCAAGACTGTAAAAATGCTTCAAAAGTAAGTAGATTTTATAGATTTGCAAGTGTAATTTGTAAGTGTAACACTTTTATAAAGTAGCTCCAATCTTGTTTTCTTTATTCTGTCTTTCATAACAACATTTTAAGTCTAATATATTTTGATATATGCTTCTCTGAGTAAACTCCCATGTTCTCCTTAAATATATTAAAATAAGCATCAAGGATATGGACTATGAGTGACATTCTGCATCCTATTTTAGCATAAATCTTTATGCGAATCTGAACCAACCCCGTAAAGTTTTGAGCTTTGTGATTATCCAGAAAGAAATTAAGAACTTTCCTGTTTAGGTTAGCCAACATTCTGTGGTCTACTGAAGATACTAGCTCTAACCTTAGCATCTGAAAGCTTTGGAAAAATATCTTGGTGTACTTAAAAGGTTCCAACTCCTTATCAAGAGCAGCAACAAATTGCTTGATAAGGCCTAACTTGATTTGCAGTGGTGTGCACTTTCTGGGGTTCTTTCAGCTTTCACTTTAGGTTCTCATGCCCTCAGAGACATTTGAGATAATGTCTATCTAGCTAATTCCTAGAAAGATATTAGCTTCCTAGCATATATTCCTATCTTCCTCTAATATCTTCCTAGCTGTCAGACTGGTTGCTTTCTACTGAGGATGGCTGATCTCACTAAGGGGAAGTAGGAACAGACGGATCAGGGCTGCTCTGTACTGACGCACTTGGCAAGGAAATGTCTTAATGAAGAATTTAATGTGCACGTATGATTGAGTGACATGGCAAGATCAACAAGAAGTAGCAGTTGCTTAAGTGGCCCATCTGTTTGTGGAGAATATAATAAATTGTATAATTATAATATTATTAAATATACAATTAAGTAATTTCATAATTAATTATGAAATATTACAAGTATAACTGATTATGTAAATTGGAAGGCTGCGAGTTTTGCAAATCAATTTTAAGATATGTATGGCTACTTTTAGATAGTTTGAAAACATATTTAAGAATGCTCAGTATATTCTTGTCTCGGTCCCAAATGCAATGTTTGTGTGGAATTACAGCTGCTTTCTATTTATTTTTGGCAAAGTAGTTAAAAAACCATACTTTTAACCCAAGGACAAAATAAAACTAAAAATCAGTTACATAACGATATAGAAATGGTCTTCCGATTTGGGATACTCTAAAATAAAAATGTAGCTATAAAAAGAAATAAAAAGGGTAAAAAATAATGAAGTATGTTTTTTTCTTCTCCCTAGTAAATCCTCAGTTTATGTATATACTCCTCTCTCCTCATTTGTCCCTTTTTACTGTTGGAGTTTTTTAAGCAATATAAAGGCAACTCGGATACTTAATTTGGTAATGTGGTGTGAGAAATATATATTTTTAGTCTTTCCACTTTAGAAAAAAAAAAAAAAATTACCTAGAATTCTTTAACCATCAGAGTTAAAAATGGATTTTTTAACTTTTTTTCCAACTTCTTCTATTCTAACCAACAATGCATAAGTAACAATAATTTTTATTAGCCTATTAGGCTTAAATCTTATTAGGCTTCTTCTTATTCTTTTAAATCCTGGTTCTTTTAATTCTTCTAAATCATGTGGCTCAATTAATCCATATGTAGCAAAAAGGTCTTGATTGCACAAAATTTGAGACATTTGTGCAGCATGGGAACTGGGAACGAATGATTTTTGTGCAGTATGGGAACTGGGAATGAATGATTTTTATGCAGCACGGGAACTGGGAATGAATGATTTTTGTGCAGCATGGGAACTGGGAATGAATGATTTTTGTGCAGCATGGGAACTGGGAATGAATGATTTTTCAAAACAGGCTGATTAAAGACTTCTCAACTTGTGTTATCAAACATAAATTTGAAAATTTAGAATTAAAAAAGTTGAGAATTTTGAACTGAAAAAGATCGGAATATACAAAATTACAAAATAGTTCTATTATTTTCAATTTTTTTTATCCTAATACACTCTTCTATAGCAAAATTTCAAAATTTTTTAACTACTTAACAATTTTTAAACACGGCGTTTTATTTATACATATACAATATATATATATATATATATATATATATTATATATATATATATATATATATATATATATATATATATATATATATATATATATATATTAAACATATTCATATTTACAAATGTATATATATTATATATATATAATATAAAAATATACAAATATTATATAAAATACATATCTTATACAAATATCATATAAATATACATATATTATATAAAAATTGTATATATATTATATATATACATATATAATAAACATATATATTCATATTTATATATAATATTTATATATTTATATAATTAAATTTATAGTGCTTTACTGCCTACCTTGTCCATCTAAGTCATCTCATCAAGTCTGTAAATCAAATGATCAACTTCCATCTACTTGCAGTGTTGGTGAAGTTGTAGTTTCAAATGGAACTGGTTGTGTTACTTGCTTGTCAGGTTATAGATGTCCATCTCCAGCACAAGATATGATTAAATGTCCTTTAGGTATGTGGTCATCTCCTGGTTCAATAGACTGTATTCAATGCCCATTGGGGTTTTACTGCCCTAATAACGATTCATTAGTTATTCCATGTCCAGAAGGAACTTATCGTTCAACATTTTTTCAACAATCTTGTTTGATGTGTCCTGGCGGTTTTTCTTGTGAAGATCCAAGCATTTCACCAACACCATGCAAATATGGTATTATTTTAATATATATATATATATATATATATATATATATATATATATATATATATATATATATATATATATATATATATATATATATATATATATATATATATATATATATATATATATATATATATATATATATATATATATATATATATATATAATATATACATAAAACTTTAAAATTTTGTTAAGATCATTTATTTGCTTGACATATTTTGAATACTTAACTGCTTTAAAATTTTTAGTTAAAATTTTATTAAAGAATGTTGAATTAATTGGAACCGGTTTAAATTTTGAAATGTAATAAAAGCCATTTAATTAAATAAGTATTGTAAGTTAAAATAAATATAGCAGTTAAAAGCTTATCATCTTATATTAATTTCTTTTTATCTTTTTTTAATATTTTTCTTTTAAGTGCCACAGTCCTTTTCAAAAAATAAAACTAGTAAAAGTGAAAAACATGCTTAATTTAAAATTACTCAAAAAAATTCAAAAAGTGTGTTTAAAAATTATCAATTAGAATTAAGGTTGTTAACATTTTTTCTAGTCATAATGAATTATTAGTTGTTAAAATTATTAGATTAGTAATTTGTATGCAATAAAATCAACAACTTGGTTGGCATTTTAGTATTCAAACAAATACAGAAAGTTACCCCTATAACAATGTTACGTATTGAGATGTATCATACATTATGGTTTGGTTACAAAGGTCTGTTATTTTTATGTAACTAAGATGCAAGATTTTTATGTAACTACATGTAAAAATATAACATGTAGAAATGGTATTTTATAAGTAAAAAAAAAAAAATCACTAAAGTTTTTAAAATTTAAATGCAATTTTCATATACTATATATATAAAATTTGTTTGGAAGTAAGAATAAATAAGGTTTTTAAGTACATTAAAACAAAACTAAAAAAAGTAGGAGTAATCAAATATATTGAAAAAACAAATGAAATAACACAATATTGAATGACAATATTTAAACCATAACATGCAAACTTGAATGTTGCTATTATATTAAAACAAAATGACATTTACATTTTTACATACATTTTTATTTGTAAGATTACAAAAGCTCAAAAAGCGTAAAGTCTTTTTATTTTGTTACAAAGTAACCAATTGGATCAAACCTATTGTATCACTCGTGGGTGCTACTCATAATTATAATACTCATTACAAGTAGTATAATTACTTACACCCAAGACATTAATATATGCACCCAAGACATTAATATAGCAGCATTATCTTTTTTTCTGAATTTCTCATAGAGTGTATTCAAATAATACTAGACTCCTTAAGTACTACGTCTTTCATTTAGCACAGAAATTGATATAAAAAAATTTGCATGCATGTTTCATTAGTTTTGCTAAGATTGTTTGAATAAACCAAACACTCAAGATAAAATAAATAAATAAAGTTTCAATTTGCAACTAAGTGATGTACAATTTAAAAAATGATCTTTATAACATTTTTAATGTTATGTCTCAATTGGTTCCACTTTTTAAATATTTGTATATTTTACGTACATTTTAGGCGTAATATATTATTACTGTATGTGACATGTTACAAAAAATATGTATAAAGCTTTTATGCATTTGCTAATGTGTGATTTTGGTGTAAATGTATTTATGTGTATGTATATATGTATTATGATTATTTTATTTATGCTGATTGTATTTTAGTTTTTTAATTATGGTAAATTTCTATTATTTCCTTTAAATATTGAACAAAAAATAGATATAAATTTTTTTAATTTATTTATTTGTAATTTTTATCATTTCAATTCTATTATTATTAAGCATTTTTTTTATAGGTTATATAAGTGATTTAGGTTCTTCTTCTTGCATTATTTGTCCCGCTGGATATTCATGCCCTGATAGAACAAATTCATCAAAAAATATTTTATGTGAAAAAGGTACATACTCTGTTGCTGGGGAGTTAAGTTGTGTGTCATGTTCTGAGTTTGGAGAACATTGTTCTAATTCTTAGTAAGGAAAATTGTTTTACTTGGTTTTTAAATCTATATAGGTTTTTTAAATTTTTTATAATTTGCTTTATAATTGTTTTTCATCCATAAACATTTAGTAATTTTTTAAAAATCTTATTTTCATGTATAATTTCATCATTTTAAAGTTAATAATAGTTTTATCATTCTAAAGTTAATAATAATTTCATCATTCTAAAGTAAATAATGATTAAAAAATAAGAAAATAAAAATAAAAATAAAATAAGAAATTTAGTTAATTGCAGTTGAATTGAACTTTTTTTTCTCTTAATTTTTCTTATATAATATTGATTATATAATAACATAGATAATTTATTTATAATTAATTATTTATAATTGTCGTGTCAAAAATGCAAATAGTTATAAAGACAAACCAAAAGATTGATGATTAGCATTTTCTGATATTGTTTTATTTAGTTTCTACAATTAAAGAAAATCATTTTTTTTACCTGATGGTTGCTATCAGCATTAGCTTCACACCCACGCTGAACCAGATTTTAGTTTGATGAAATGACATAGGGTTGTGTCATACCTTTTTGAAATTGTTAGAACCATACCATTAAGGGAAAGTTAGTAAAAAAAATCATAAAACTAATCTTTAAAAAATATTTGGGTTTATACTGGGGTCAAAACGGTTCCCGAACTTTGGCCCCCCTCTGGTTGATTATGAGACTAACCCGAGGGGGGGAAGCAACTGTTTTATATTTTGTTAAATAATATAACTAGTTATTAGTTGCCCCTTCTAGATGGTCTAAAAAACATCCCGAGGGGCACCAAAGTTCATCACCTATTTTGACCCGTGTGTATATAATCATTATTAAACTTTATAAATAAGTTTATAAAGAACGAATAATATATTTTACTTAAAACAAAATGTTAAAAATCACTTTATCAATCTAGTCAAATATGTTTTCATTGAAAAAATAAAATAAAAAAGAATACAAATATTGTACAGTAGGTTTATACTGAACAATAGTTTTATACTGAACAATACAAAACAGACCGCAACTCATCATTACCACATATGTAATCAAACTTCTTAATTCTGCATATTTTCATTTTGTTTTAACTTTAAAAATTGAAGTATAATAAACAACGCTTGTAAGTAATGTTAAATGGTATTTAATAAGGAACCCATATACTATAATAGTCAGCATTTATATTTGTTTTATATTATGTTATATTTGTATAGTGTGTTTGAAACATTTTTTAAAGAATTATTATATGGTATGTAAATCTTTATATATTTTAGGTATAATAGATTTTAGGTATTTTTAGGTATAATAGATTTTAGGTAATTTTAGGTATAAATTATTATATGGTATATAAATCTTTATATATTTTAGGTATAATATATATATTTTAGGTATAATAAAAAGTGTGTTTTCTCTGTGTTCTTAAATTGTTTTATTTTTCCAGATAGAATGAGTTTATTTAAACCAACCTGTACTCATGAGGAAAACAGGAGAAAAGTGTATTTATATTGTGCCAAAAAAACAAATAAACCTAACGATATCAATGTACCGTGGATTAAAAATTTAGTGAATTTTAAATACAACATTAAAAATTCATTCTATCCTAAAGCTATTTGAAAATCTTGCAAAAGCAGTATAAGAAGAGGAAAAGAGCTTTACACGTAAAGTGGAATAAAATGAAAATACCAGTTCAAACTAGAAGTGTTTTTGTATGTAAATGCTAAATATGTATAATTGGATCTACTCAAGGAAGACCTAAAAAATTCAAAAGGGGGCGTATATGTAATGCGCAACCTCCATTTAATAGTCTAACTTGTCAAACTTGCTTTTCAATTATTAGCAAAGGAATTACCCACAAAAGTTCTTTAGCTGTACTTAAATGTAATATAATACAAAAGCTTGCAAATAATGTCAAGACAATTGAGCAAATAGCTAATTCTTTAATAAAAGATAAAATAGACAAAAAGGATAAAGCGATACTTGCTACTGGTGGTAAAAAAGTAAGTTTTACAATTAAGAGAAACCATGATACTAGTAATATACAACAACTGTCTATAAACAGTATGATTGACATACAATCAACTTTAGAATTAAGTAACACAAAAATTTTAAAGCTAGCAAAAGAATAACGATTCAAAGCACAAAACAGAAAAATTGTACAATCAGGGTTAGCAGCAGAGCTCAAACGTATTGACCAGCAACTTGATGATTGCTTTGTTGAGGATTTTGAACTTTTTAATATTAAATCTGTAGAGGAAAAAAGTTTGTTTAAACTCCATTTATCAGAACAACAGATGTCAATGAGTTTCTGTGGCAAATAATAGATAAAAAAAGGAGCCTATCCTCAAAACCAGTATATACAAGTTTCCATTTACGGAGGTCGGGGATTTCTTAAGGTAATTTGATTTTATAATGTGCCACTTTTTTTTCTAATTAAAAATAATAAGTGTAATTTATTATAAAATATTCAGGTTTGCTTAAATATTGTATCAAATCCTAGTGAAACAATTAAAAATAAAAGGAGAAAATATGGAGAAATTAAATCACCAAATTTCAAGGAAGGATCTGTGAAAGCATCATTTATTATAGCACTGGTACCAGATGCACCAGAGACAAACCATAATGTTAAAATTCTGCTTAACAAACTCTGTTTGGATAAAATAAACTTTACTTATGTGGCAGATATCAAACTCTGTCAAGTCAAGTGTGGTATGTCTCCAAGTTCCATGGCAACTTATCCGTGTTATATTTGTACATGTAACAAAACAGAGGTTTTTAAAAATGATTGCACTGAGCTACGAACACATGGGTCAATAAAATTTAGCCGTAAATTGTATAAATTGAGCGGATCAAAGAAAATTAGAGCAAAAGAATATTTTAACTGTATTGATGAAGTTCTTTTAATTGGTGATGATAATGATCTAGTTGTTAATCATCTTTCTCCTCCAGAACTTCATTTGATGAAAGGGGCAACAAACCATATCTTTAAAACAATAAACAAATTAGCTGATCCAGTACTATTAAAAAAGATCGAATATGACTTAAATATTTCTAAATCAATAAGAAATGGGTCATATAATGGTAATAGTTGTCAAAAAATATTAAAAAATTGGGTGAATTACTATAACTTGTTTCTAGTCCTATTAAAACCATTGGCTGAAGCGTTCAGGCTTCTGGATAACCATGTTCACTCTTGTTTTGGTGTAAATTTATAGCCAACATTTGAAAAGGACATCAGGTTATTTAAGAATCATTATTCAACCTTAGTGGAAGATTATAAAATGACAGTTACTGTGAAGTTACATATCATATTTCAACATGTAGGTCCTTTTTGTAAAGATAAGGACATTGAATTGGGTTTCTTTAGTGAACAAGCAGGGGAAGGTCTTCACTACTCATTTCTAAAGGAAGCATGGGAACGTTTCAAAGTGTCTGATAACCATCAAAAGTATGCAAAGTATTTGAAAAAAGCAGTGGTTAGTTTCAATGGAAAACATTTAAATATTGTTTAATAAATATTTTCTGAAAATAATATTTTTTTTCCCTTTTAATTTTAAGAAGAAAAAAGTACCTTGCATTGGCACCCCTCAGGCTGTTTTTAAGACCGATCTGAGGGGGACATATATGGACTAGTCATATTTTCTGACAAAATGTACAATAATTGCATGCACCCCTGTGGTGGGTCTTGATATAAGTTAAAGGGGCGCCTAAATCCGGGACCCTATTTTACCCTTGTGTAAACCCAACTATTTTTTAAAGATTAGTTTTATGATTTTTTTCACTAACTTTTCATGGTATGGTTCTAACAATTTCAAAAAGGTATGACACAACTCTATGTCATTTCATCAAACTAAAATCTGATTCAGCGTGGGTGTGGCTTATAGTCATAAAAAATATGCAGTTTTTATTTACAAATATATATATATATATATATATATATATATATATATATATATATATATATATATATATATATATATATATATAATTTTTGTACTAATGAAACAATATCAGAAAATGCTAGTCATCAATCTTTTGGCTTGTGGTTATGAAATAGAAATTTTTACTCATACTTATTTTGACATAATTTTAATATTACTGTGCTTTTTTTTTGTTTTTGTATAAATATCATTATAAAAATTTAACAATTTTTCTCAAAAAAAGTTTTCTCAAAACTTATTTTTCACTAAATCAATTTTAATGATTTAAAAAAAAAATGATACATAATTTTTTGTTTACATTAGTTTAAATTAAATTTTGTAATGTTAAGTAAGAAGACATTGTATTTTAGAAGACAATGAAACTTATTGAAAAAATGTGCACTCAATGCTTCCAAGTAATCAATACAACTATCAGTCAAAAGCTTATATCTCATCTCATCTGACAGATTAAAAAAAGAAACTCTGTGTCAAACCACTAAAAAACACATTTTTAATGCAATATTGCTTTAAAAAATACTAAAGTACCGGGTATATATAAAACAAATAAATAGTCAGCAGAATTATTATATTGCTATTATCATATCAAGTCATTTTCTTAAAAACAAAATTTTTTAAATTAGTACTTAAACATAGCACCTTAATTTAAATTAAATATTGCAGCTTTTGGACTGCTTCGATTCTCTGAGGCATACTATCAACTAGTTAACAACAATGTAGTATACAAACAACAATGCAATGAGGCATACTAACAACAAGTTAATAACTTCTAAGCAATTCCATGCCTCTTTAATGCAATTGAAAAGACAAGTTTTATCTATATATATATTTTTTTAATTTATATCTTATTGAGTATTCACCATAAGCCTTCAATTGGATTTGGGTCAGGTGATTGAATAGGCCACCATTTCAAGTTTATCATGTTTTTTCAACATGCTTTTTTACATTTTTGCAGTGTGCTTAGGATCGTTATCTTGTTGAAATAGGAAGTAACCATAGTAACCATCAAATAATTTCATGCATCTTGGTTTTGCATGATGAACAAGGATTGGATGGTACTGGTATTGGTC